TAAGCAAAATTAAAAATAAATTAAATAAACCTACTCTAATTGACCTGTATTATTCATTAATCTTTCCTCACCTCATCTACTGCAACGTAATTTGGGGAAACAGTCCTGACATTCATCTAAAACAGTTAACAAAATGCCAAAACCGATTCATCAGAATATTTAAAAATCTTCATCCTCATTGTCACACAAGTGAATATTATCTCGAGATGAAAATACTCAACATCAAAAACTTGTTCATCTACCACGTTGCAACATTCATTTTTAGATTTCTACGTCAGCAGTTGCCGGCATTTTTTAGAAACTTTTTCACTTTTGGAACTTCCATTCAAGCAAGAACTACACGCCACACGCCACTTTTCTATGCTCCACCAGCCAGAATTAAAGTACTCTGCATGAGTTTGAAACATACCGGCCCAGGAATATGGGAGACGATTCCACAAGAAATTAAAGATTGTAACACTTTGCATCTTTTTAAAAATAAACTGAAAAATTTTTTAATTACGAAAAGTTCTGTTTTTCAAGGATAATAATGTATATGTATATATATATGTATATAAGTGTGTACATATTTCATTAACATTGATACATTTTCTCCTATTGACAATTTTATTTTATCATTGAGAAGCAATTTTGAGCTGTACGGTGGCCGAGCCCACAAGAATTAATTTTCTTTTTTTGGTCTCCGAATCATTCATGCTTTTGTTTTGTTTGATTGAATAAAAGTGATTTGATTTGATTTGATTTGATATATATAACGGGTGTATATTATATATATTATATATGCATATATATTATATACGTAAAGGATTGTGATAGTGGCACGGCCAGATGTTACCAGTTCAACTGCAGTCTCGGCGAGTTGAGGCCCGGTCAGAGTTTCGTGATCAGAATCAGGTCGAGGTTGTGGAACAGTACCTTTGTGGAGGTGGGTGGTTGTTGGGGTGGGGAGGTGATTATTGCGGTGATGATGATGACGGTGGTGATGATGGTCATCCACATAATTTCTTATTTCTCATTATTATTCCATATCATTACCATGGTTATTATTATGATTATTATTATTATTGTATCATCATCACTGAATCTAGAATTTTCCAAAACACGATTCTGTGGAGATATATTCGAAGGCAGAAATCATCATCGATCCGAACCTCAACATCAGGCAGTCCAACATCAACAATGATGTCTTGAAGGTTGGTTGGCTGGCTGGCTAGTTGGTTGGATGGTTGATTGGCTGGCTGGTTGGTTAGTTGATTAGTAAGATGGTTGGTTTATTGTGTTGCAAAATAACGGATTACCAGATTAAGTGGACGTCAATTTGGTTGAGTGATTAGTTGATTGATTATTAATTGATTGATTATTGATTGATTGATTGATTGATTGATTGATTGATTGATTGATTGATTGATTGATTGATTGATTGATTGATTGATTGATTGATTGACAGATGGTGACGTCAGCAAAACCGGAAATAAAAGAACCAGGAGGCGTAGCTTGGTGGATTATATTAATATCCGTCCTGATTGGAGTTCTCTTGCTCATTGGATTGATACTTCTACTATGGAAGGTTGCTTGATTGATTGATTGATTGATTGATTGATTGATTGATTGATTGATTCATTGATTCATTGATTCATTCATCCATTCATTCGTTCGTTCATTCATTATTCTCTCATTCAAATGATCCAATTTCTATTCATCAACTCACATATACATTCACTCATCTACATGTTAAATCGATCCATCTACGTAGTCAAAAAAACTTTTGCTTTTTCTTGACGATCCTACTCTTCTCTTTCTTTTTACTGGATCGATTATTGTAACTCGCTTTACTATTCTTCATCTTATCGTTCACTCACTTGCTTACACACCATTCTATCACCCATTTTTTTCACTCATCATGCCACTCACTCACTCACTCACTTACTCACTCACTCATTCACTCACTCATTCATTCACTCACTCATTCACTCAGTGTGGCTTCTTCAAGCGGACAAAGCGAACGCAGATAGCTACGCACAAGGCTCAAATGCAGAAAAGACCCCTCTCCGAGATGGAGGAACAATAATAATAATAATAAGAAGAAGAAAAAAAAGAAGAAGAAGAGGAAGAAGAAGAAAAGGAAGAAGAAGAAGAAAAAGAAGAAGAAGGAAAATAAACGACGATGATGATTATGATGAAGAAGATTATTATTATTATAAATATTATTATTAATTACCAAGTTGACGATGGTGATAATGATGAAGATGATGACGAAGACGATGATATGTTGATAATGATAATGATGGTTTTTAATGATGATGATTCTTTTATGTCTCACGTTCATAACACTATTTTCTTAATCATAGTTAACCATTCATTCATTCATTTATTCATTCATTCATTCATTCATTCATTCATTCATTCATTCAGTTATAATTAATGCAACAATCGGTCATTCATCATGATTTGTTCAATAATGATTATAATTTATCATAAAATGCGGCTTTTGTTAATCATTTTTAATTAATTAATTTTAATTAATTTTTTAATTTTAATAACTTTAGTTATTTATCTAATTATATTTAACTTTTTACGTTTATAATTATTTTTACACTGTTATCTTTATTATTATTGTTATTAATGCTGTTGTTTTTATTGTTTCTATTATATTATTGATATTGTTGATAATGTTATTATTATATTATTAAATCAATTAATCAATCTTCGTTTAGCGTCCAGAAACCCAGTCCCCGTTGTTTTCTTTGCCATCAACTTTTTGCGCCAAATTAGGCGATCAGTTGTAATTATTATTATTATTATTATTATTATTATTATTATTATTATTATTATTATGACAACAACAATAACAATATTGATTTATTTTTTAATTCTAGAGAATGTTGGTAGCATAGTTATTTACAAATATTTTTATTATTTTATGTCAGTTTGTTTGAGTTTTTTGTTCGTGTTTTTTTTTTTTTTTTTTTTTCTTTTGTCGGTGGTAGTTGCCAATCATCTTCTTCATCACCATTGCCGTCGTTCATTCATTTGCTGCCGTTTGTGGGTGCTGTTTGCAAATTGGAAATTTTTAATTAATGTTTCAAGAGAGAGAGAAAGTGAGAGAGAGGGAGAGAAAGAGGGATCGAAAGAGTGAGAAATGATTAGTGAATGATAATATTATAGAAAGTTGCGTAATATTATAGAAAGTTGCGTGTGAATGTGTGTTTGTGTGTGTGTGTGTA